ATAACATACATCATGTATATTATATACGTTATATCATACACATTGAATTAGACTTGTATAAAATGAATACACTACAAGTACGCTCATCTAGAGCAAATATTCGAAACCCATGAAACGTAACTGAGATCTATCCAAACTTGACTTGGATTGGTAAGTACGTACATGCATACTGGACTTGATCGCATCCCTAATCCACGGTGAAATGATTCAGAGTGGCGTAGTGACGTGATCATGACCAACTTCGACAGATGATGGCCTCTCACCACGAAATTACACGTAATAACACGGTCGTGCCGCCATTAAGCAGAAGCTCGCTGGGCGGTTACGCGGTGGCGAGACACAGACTGTGTGTTTCGCACGTTCTTACACACCGGAGATTTATTCTTTCACATTTATCTTCACCGCGAGTGTTGTTTTGCTGTGGGTTTAGTAGCTTTTGGCAGAATGGAGCGTAAAAGTGAATGATTTGGCGAATGTGCAATAGATTGATGATAATGGCAGTGCGCTGGTACCGGTGGAAATTGATACTGCTAGGCTGCGAATGTTTGTATAACTTGGAGAAATTGAAATGATTACAAATGCACGAAATATGTATTGGAATATTTGCTATATTTAATTCAAAATTAGGGAGGATTTAACCTGATATTGTATATTTGACATAAAATCACATATTAGAATATTTGCTGTATTTACGTGAAGACCTACTTTGATATTGCATATGTATATACTATATACTTGATATAAAATCATGTATTAGATACATTTGCTGTAGCAAAACTAGAAAAGATTATTTGATTTGATATTGTGCGTGTATATTATCTACAATGATAGTAGATATTACAGTAGATTATTTGCTGCATTCGTATCGAAACTAGAAAAAATTATTTAATTCATTTGCTATATTTACATCGAAACCGGAAAATGTTTGATACACTTAATTTATATAGTTGATTCCACAGAATGGAAAATAAAACAAAACAAAAGCTGAAAAGTACCTCCTGCAAGAGGTACTTAATCTATGTGATTTCTCTTTCTATTCCCCTTTCTGTTCTACTCAGAAATTCGTCCGAAATCTTGGAAAAATTTTCGAAGAGCCTCAGCATGGTGAGAACTCGAAGAGTTTGGAGGAAACTCTCGCGTTCCCGAAACTTCCACTTCCCTGGAAACCTAACGTGAACTTTCGACGCGTGCGCACTTGAAAACGCACAATTTCCCGCGGCAATCTACTCTCGAGAAGTTTCCCGAGGCACGCGAGCCGGCCACGATTTCCCTTCAGGATGGGATCCTCCTATCCAACAATAGGCACGAAAGTAAAAGGAAGACGATGGAGCAACCCTATCTAATGCGAGGAGGCCGACGGTGTGTGGCGTTCCATCGCTAATTTGGAGAAAGTTGCAAGCGTAACAGCGATTATCGGCTGTTGAATGAACAACTCGCGAGGAGAAGATCTTTACTTCGTTCTTTCGACGATATTATCCGGCTGCTGTTTCGCGTCCAAATGGCAGACAGTGGTACGCGCGCGCGCGTATCAAGACCAACTCGCTCGTTAGGTCTGTTTAAACCATGCTATCGTGAACAGAGGAAGATAGAAAGACTGAAAGAGAAAGAGAGAGAGAGAGAGAGAGAGAGAGAAAGGAGAAGACATTCTTTCTTATCTTTTTCTTAATTAGTGAGGTAGGTGCAATTAACCTTTTGCGCTGAAATGACGCACGTCGAGAATTCTTTTTGTCCCAAAATTGCAACATTTTTACAGTTTCAAGTGCAGTCAAGTACAACCCAGGCAAAACAAATAATAAGTTTGTAATAATTCTTAAAGAAAGCGACGAATTATTGTATACGGTTACTCGTTATGGTCCGCAATCAGTTGCCAGAGCAAGTGGTTAAAATCTGCGTGGATCAACCACGGCGCCGTGATAAATTCGTCGTCGAAACAATTAGACGCCGCGCTAAAGATTAATAATTTTAATCCGACGCGACTGGTATAACGCCAGAGGAGAGGGATGGCAATGACCACGACCTTGGTTATTTCATGCTCGTTCGCCGATCCCTCCTTGAAACTCGTCGATCACTCGACCAATTGGCGAGACTAGTCAATCGTTACGAACGTCTTCTTTTTTTTTTTTTTTTTTTTTTTTTCTTTCGAACATTTTAAAATGAAAATATTTCCAAACATTTTTAAATTCACAACTATACGAGTGTTTCCGCGTTTTGTGAAAATTCTACAACTATTTCTTTCAAGCAAGGAATTTCGAATTATAAACTCGAGTTCTGAAAATTCTGCCGCAAGGAAGAAATGAATTTTTACATTCTTCTTCTCGCGCGACATTCGATCGCTTCGAAATGAGCGGAAAAAAGAAATTACAATTTCGAGGGAAAAATTCCTTTCCGCGGTGGACACTTGGTCGAAATTTATAATTCGTCGAAACTTGATCAAAACAAATGAGAATTGCAACATCCAAATCCTGGTAAAATTAAAATATAAACTTCTGGATGAACAAAAAATCAAAATAAATGTTGATATAAAATAGGATCTCCTCCTCCCATAGGATCAAAGAAAGATGTATTAAAATTACGATCAACAATAATATTATTACATAATAATATTGTAATTGCTCCTGCTAAAACTGGTAAAGATAAAATTACCAGTAATTGAAATTGATCATGAGAATAAATTAATTTGATCATAATCCCTCTGGAAATATAAAAGACACGTGTGTGCACGCAGAGTATTTCAAAAACCGCGAATTCCAATCCTCTCGCGAACATCTCGAATTATACCGCCCCTTCGTCGTTTCAGAACGCTTTCCTTGCTTTGGAATCCCGGAGTTGGCAAGGCTGCCAGGTATTAGCATATGAAATAAGAAACGACGTCGAAACTCTGATGTAATCGCGTCGGTGGCCGGTGTCGCGGCGGAAACGGCGCGATACTTTCACTGATTGCGAGAGGCCAACAACACCTGAGCCACCGCCCGCTCGCGGCTGCAACACGCGCGAAACACGCGCTTCTCTCCGAGACGAGCACGCGTGGGCGGAAGTTACACATTAAAGTTACGTTACGAAGCGGGACGGACAGGTGCACCGGTACACGCATTCTCTTTGCATTGTTCGTCGCGACCCGGTGCATCTCTCTCGAACGGCATCTTCCAGTTCAGCCTGGAAACCAGTATGCCCACGCTTTTATGCAAATCGAAGGGACCGATGTGTAGCCGATCCTCGCCGAGGTGGATCGGTTTAACCACGTGTGTGTGTGTGTTTGTGTGTGTGACACGTAAGGATGTAAAACCAGCTGCAACATCTTGAAAAGTGGAATACACGCCGGGAGGATGTTAGAACGAAATTGTTTCGCGGAAATTACCCTTGATTTTAATCGAGAATTTAGCGTCGCCGTTCATTCCGTCCCGTTTATTGGACGTGTCAATTAATTCGATATCTTCTTGGCACCGGCCGTCCCGGTATCTCGATTTTGATCGAGAATTTAGATTTACCTCTCGATTCGTCCGTCGTTCATCAGGCGTGTCGTTCTTCAGCGTGTCTCCGGTGATTTTCGAACGATAAATAAACGCCGATTTTTTTCTCTTTTTTTTTTTTTTTTCAACGAAAAGTCGTCGCCACTTGTGCTGTCGTTTACTAATTGTGGTCAATCAATTCGATGTCAGTCATGTTCGATTTTAATTGAAATCAAGACGGTGTCTAGGACTCTGAGATCTAACGTTTATAATTACGAGATGTTATTGATTTATAATGTCGTAAACAAATAATATCTCGTAACTACAATTATTTTAAATCATTTATTTATTTGTATACATTTAACAATATTAATTTTTCTAAATAATTTAAAACATTATTTATTTATTTATTTATTTATCTTCTTTTTCGTTAGACCTTTATTTATTTATAATGTTGCAGGCCGAAAGAAAAATGCAATTAACACTTCAAAACTGTGACGACGATCGAGCAAAATAAAATCGAATGAGTTTCCGAACTTCCGATTCAGATTACCTTCAGTTTGGAAGAGAATTCGCCGTCAATGAAAAGATATCCAAATACTTCCGTAGCGCGATCGCGAGAAGATCGAGTTTTTCTTTCTTCTTTTTTTTATTATCCCTCGAGAAATGGCTCGTGCACCACCATCTGCGAAATATCCGCCGGACCAAGTGGAAAATTGGCATCGCGCAGAGCAAACACGCGAGCTTTCTACGTGGGTCCGGAACAAAAATTGCCGGGCCAGCGAAGCGCCGGCAGGCATCCGTGGAAAAAGAGAAATCGCCAAGCTCGTCGTGCACACGCCGTTCAACGCCTGCGCTCCTACAATTATAGTAAAACATATTCCATTTGCATAATGATCGTGCGCCAGGCGAGCGAATCGCACGAGCCAGTTAGAGACGTGGCTTCGGCCGCGTTCGGATCGTGTCGTTAAAGGAATTAAATGATACGTCGACGGCCGTTGACGACAAGCAGAAAACATCACGCGAGAATACTGATAATTGGACGATGCTTCTGACGCGTTAATTATTTTGGAGCGTCTTCGAGCTTTCGCTTTAATTACGTGGCAATCCGAATACCCCCAGTATTTCGTGTTCATTGCGAGTTTATTACCATTTGTTAATTGCCATCAGAATATACCTGTGCGAATATACTTCTGCGAATTGGTATTTTTACGAATGTCATTATGAAAAAGGAAGCTTTACTTAATCAAATATCGTAGAGGTAGTTTTATCGTAGTTTTATTTACCTATTATTTGAGCCACGAGTGCTCTTATTCATTTATTATTATTTTATATATTCTAGCATAGTGGTTTCCAAACTTTCATGAACCGAGATACACTTTGAAAAATAATAATCTTTCGTGACTCATTCGCTCGCAATGTAGTTAAGTGGTATTTATTTATTAAATATTGTGAAAGATATTATAATTTTACTTACGTATTATTTAAGCTACAAGTACTATTATTTATTTATTATTATGATTTTATATATTCTAGCATAGTGGTTTCCAAACTTTCATGTGCCGAGATACACTTTCAAGAATAATAATTTTTCGTGACTCATTCGCTCGCAATGTAGATAAGTGGTATTTATTTATTAAATATTGTGAAAGATATTATAATTTTATTTGCGTATTATTTAAGCTAAAAGTACTATTATTTATTTATTGTTGTTGTTTTATATATTCTAGCATAGTGGTTTCCAAACTTTCATGAGCCGAGATACACTTTCAAGAATAATAATCTTTCGTGACTCATCCGCTCGCAATGTAGTTAAGTGGTATTTATTTATTAAATATTGTGAAAGATATTATAATATTACTTACGTATTATTTAAGCTACAAGTACTATTATTTATTTATTGTTGTTGTTTTATATATTCTAGCATAGTGGTTTCCAAACTTTCATGAGCCGAGATACACTTTCAAGAATAATAATCTTTCGTGACTCATCCGCTCGCAATGTAGTTAAGTGGTATTTATTTATTAAATATTGTGAAAGATATTATAATTTTACTTACGTATTATTTAAGCTACAAGTACTATTATTTATTTATTGTTATTATTTTATATATTCTAGCATAGTTTCCAAATCTTCACGGACCGAGATCCACTTTCAAAAATAATGATCATTCGCGACTTACTCGTTCGCAGTGTATAATTAGAGATAACAGGCATCAAATGAAAATTGCTTTACTATTTTAAACTCACGTGCACGTCAACGTAATAACTGCATTATTTATGACGGTTCGACGGTGCACGGTGTTCTCGATGAATATGCAAATCACTCTCGTACTTTGAAATTTTTCGCGATCCATCAAAGATCCAGCTTTGTGACCTACACTTTTCGGGACCAGTTTTAGCATATTCAGTTTTAGCATTTCTTTTTCTCACAAGTACATATGAAAGTTCGTAGTTTGATCATCGTTGTTACGAAACTCGATGATTCTGAATGTCAAAGTTAAAGGTGCGTAGAACGATGGGACGATTGAGATCGTGGTAACGAAATAATGGAAGACTAAATGCAAGATTTCGCGCAAAATCAGTATTTGAGTCTACGTAAATTGCAGGATGCCTATCGAAGAATAATAATATCTTTTACGATAATACTATAAATATAATATAAATAATACATATAATAATATAACAATAATAATGATAATATCTTTTTGCAACAACCAATGCGTTCTCGATCCTCAATATCCGTAAATATGTTTCTTGGACGACTGTTCTTCGAGGAATACGATCATTCGGTCAACGACAGTTGAATTCTTAATCTTTGTTCCGGAGCTCCACGTGAAAGCTCGCGTGTTTGCTCTGGCAGCTATTTTTCTACCTGGCCCGATGATATTTCGCACGCACGAGACCAGCCGAGCCGAGCCGAGCCGAGCCGGGACGCGATGAGAAAACCACGATAATGCACGGCCATTTATTAACAACGTATTAATTCGTCACGCTGCGAAGAAACAAAAAAGAAAGAAAAAAAAAAAAAAATACAAAGACAGGAAGAGAAGAAAAAAAAGAAGAAGAAGAAGAGGTAGCAGGCAGAGTGTTCTACGTTTAGCTTCGCCAAACCGACCGCCGAGAATTTCAACGTGACTCCGATGTGAAAACGTTTTCAACCGGAAGTCCGAGAGAAGAAGCCCGGTGAAAACGCGCTATTCCTCGCGCGCCTCTTTTTATGGATTGGAGGCACGACCCGGCTCCAGGATCCAGCCTATAAAGGGAAAAAGAAAATCCCCCCTCCCTTCAGTACGTATCCGCTCGTGCGAGTTCCGTGTAATGCCACTCCTGTTTCCAAAGGCCTCGAGAGAGCGGGCCGCCGATCATCACCTACGACCCCACTCGGCCTCGAGCCTCGAGAAGTGGACATTTATCGTTCGCGAATCGTTCGTTCGAACTGGTCCCTTCGTGGATCTTGGACTTCCTCGTTCGCGGCTCGCCGGACCGCGCCAGCTTTCGCACGCACGCCCGCTGCTGCCTCTTTCTTCGGCTGCCTCGTGATAATTACCGCCGATTAGCCGGAGAGAAATCGTCCTCCTGCGGGAGATGCTCGGTGAACGAAGTACCAGGCTGGTAATCGGGCAGGATGCATGGAAATAAAGAGGAGTCTCGGCCATTGTCTGGCACGAATCTTTGTCTCGAACGAAATGGAAAACGACAGTACCTCTCTCGATATTCTCTTCCCGCTTTGCTTCCTGCTTCGTTCCTCGCTAAGCAAACGCGCGAGAGTGTACACACGGCATTGTCCTGCGCGCCGTCTCGAAACTGAGACAGGGGAAGGAAACGACTCGAGCTTCGTTGTTTCCTTGCTGTGACTTCTTCTTTTTTTTTTTTTTTTTTATTATCTGACTTATCCTTTTGTTTAGTTATTTTTTTTGTAACCGTTTTTTGCGTAACACAGCAGTTGCTAATAATTTATCTGCATGAAAGTTCGCAGGCTATTTGTTTCAATTAAAATCAAAATTTACTTGCTGTTGTACATGGGGGAATGCACATGCGACGAATTTGTCGCATCGAGCCACTTTGTTCGAATAAAAATTCAATTCTCACAGGGGAACATAACAGAATTGTTAATCACCGATTTTGATGAAATTTATAGCATAAATGTAGTTTATAGTAAGAAAAAAAATTTGACACGTATTTTTCTTTCATCGGCAATCGTCGATGTTGAAGGGGTGGAAATTAAAACTAATCTCAAAGTTGGAGGTGCGGAACATATTTTGTCAAATATCTCGAAAATTACTGAAGATGTAGTTTTTGTGTGACTCGATGAAATTAGTGTTTTTTTTTAACGAACGAATCTAACGTCGTATACCATTATGCGAAAAAATCGTAAAAATTATTTTTACAATATAATAAAAATAATAATAGAAATTATTGTTTTTATAATATGTTACATTATAAAATTATTTTGTTTTAATAATATTAGAGCAATATTTTATATAATATAAAATTTTTATAATATAATAAAAATTATTGCTTTTATAATATGTTTAATTAAAATTATTTTGTTTTAATAATATTACAACAATATTTTATATAATATAAAATTAATTTCATATCATAAAATTATTTTGTTCAAATAACATGTTAAAAAACCATATTTTTTAGAAGTTTTTCCAAGTCAGTCATGCCATTTTAGTTATCAAGTATCAAGAAAAGCAATCGCCAAAGTTTGCATCCGTTAGATTCTCTCTCTTCTTGTCGAGGAGTGCTCGAGATTATTCCCCGTTCCGTAAAAGTTGAAATTCAAACGTCAATTTATCAGACCCTAAGCGAGCACTATTTCACGCCTCGGGACATGACATCGATGCTCGAGAATCGTGAGTGTCGTTCTTTATCCCGAGCGTGTCATCTATCATCGTGCTTTCGTGACGATCACCTATCTTCCCCGGTTCCGAGGCTTAAAGACTCTTCGAGATCGAGGACGATGGAAAAGTCGACGGATCTCTCTTAAGAAGGTCGACGAGCCATGGGCGTTGGCGTTGCCTCGAGAGAAGCGGAGAAAAACTTCGACAAAGCCGGTGAGAAGGAGGCCCGAGGAAAACGCAGACGCGCAGAAGCTGGTGAAACCGATATCGAGGAGTCGATCGAAACAATTTTAATTGATTCGTAATCGTTGACGAGATCGTATCGTTTGCTTGTTTTTACTGGGACAGAAGTTCTGATTGAAAGAAATATTCGTAGCAGAATTGGAAACATTTTTCATCTTAAACAATTACCTGACCTTGATATATGCAGACAAATAAAAAATTCCAAAATTGATTAGAAGAAAAATCAATACGCGAAACTTCGTAGCAGAAACCGTTTTGCTTGTTCTTGTTAAATACTTAATTGACCTTTATATGAAAAGCTGCTATAACGAGCAGATTGAAATCTCCAGTTAATTTCATAAAAATTTCTCGAAATTAACTATATATGACTTTTTTCACCAATATATGGAACTTTAACTCTCGGGCGAGAATGAATATAAATTGTTGAATTCTCGTCCATGTGAGACTAATATTGAAAGTTCAGTAAAATGGCGACAAAAAATTACGCATCAAGTATAATACGGAGATCGTTACAAAGGGGTGGCTTCAATATTCAAATCCATTGTGGATTCAGTGATGAAAAACATGTTTCAATACTTTCGCACACTAATATAGCATATTAGATAATTTATAACATTTTTGAGAAGAAATCTATAATGCAAATACATTTTACAATAAAATGAACGACGCATTTTCAGAGCAAAGGCTAGAACTTTTAAAATGACCCCTCACTTATCGTTGCGTAACGATTTTCTTTTCTACGGAATTATTATAAATATTTATCTAATTTTAATCAAATATTGACACACAGGAACAATTTTAATTAAATAATAAAAAATAATATTTAAATTCTTTTTTAAATAATAAAAAATTAAATATTTACAAAATTAAACAGGGTGGGCCAAAAATTACTTAGCCACTAAAATAAATCCGCAATTCTCTTATCATATATTTAAAAACAATTTTGTTTCTTACACTTTGATGTTTTATTTAAAAAAAAAAAAAAAAGAATAGGTGGGAAGAAACTTTTGGCACTAATCTTGTATTTAGCGTCTGAATGTCAACGAGAGTCGTAGGTGGTTTCCCAAGTGAGAAGTACACCACGTGAAAAAAAAAAAAAAAAAAGGAAAAAACCGTGGCGTTGTTAAAGCCACCGAGGAGAGACGACACTCGTTATTTGAATCGATGATTGGCAATGTTAGATCCTAAGTGGCGACCGTTTTGTCCCGGTAGAAATCTCGCGTGGCCATTTAGAGCAGCGGCTGCTAGCTGCTACAGGTAAAATTTATGGCGGGCGGTCTATAACTGTTAGAAAGGGTGTTTCCACGTACGGACGATGCATTTTAATGACTCCGGCTCCCGGTGCCGGCGATCGCGCCACGTTTTCTCGCGTATCGTCCACACGCGCTCCCGACCGATTCGCCCGGCACGAGTCTTTCTCTACGGTCCGTTCGAATTAATCTCTCTCTCTGCCAGGATTCTTTCTTTCAGGTTAACTCGATAAACGCTTACAAGACAGGCGGCGACGAGTTTCTACGGGTTTCTCGAATAGAAATTGCCCCGGTGGTATTAGTCCATAGAGACGGTAACCACGGGAGAGAAACTCCACAGATCGCTTCCTGCTCGTTTCTAGTTACGTTTCTGTTATTCGACGAGCCGCGTCCGCGTATTACCGGGTGGACACGAAATAAATGAAATA